ATTATTATATTCCTAATGTCAGAACATGCAACCAGTATGCAATTAATGCAGCAGAATCCGATATGAGATGTCGGCAATAATTGAAGAATATATTATTGTGAAGTTGAGTTGTGTCGGTCAGCATTATTGAGGATAGAATAATTCACCTCGATAGGTGAAATGTGGTATGATCAGTAATTGGGTAATTTATGCAGTGCAGTAATTTCCAATCAGTTTTATTTGAGAAATATTGGATATATTAAAGTCAGTGGAATTTAAGGTTTTCCGACGCAAAGGCAAGTTCAGCACAGCTGATAATGCTAATGTATATTTTGCAGATGATATTAACATTGTAGGTACACGCATGTAAATGTTCCGAAACCGAAGGGCCCGGGTAGTGGGTACATCGCATGCAAAGTGACACATAGTCTCGAATCATAAGTGACAAGTCTAAAATTATTTGGTTTTACCATAATAGAAGTTGATCGAGGAAATAGTCAAGTATGTAGTCTGGATTCAAGAAAAATTCAAAACTGCTCATAATTGGCAGAAAATTTTTCTTAGAAATGGATAAAGACTTTCAGATAGTTCGACTAATGAGAAGTGTCGTTTGGTAAGTTGCAATCTTGTTGTATAAGTCCGTTAAAAGTTCTTAAATGAGTAGAAGAAGTATTCTATCATTTAGCATTACCTCCCGAGTTGGTTAGTATATGTAATATTTTTCATGTATCGATGATACGTGTATACGTGAGCGATCCAAATCATGTGCTTTAGCACAATGAGATTTAGATTCAACCAGTTTTAACTGACCAGGAATAGTCGATATCAGTTTTGGACCAAAAGGTACATCGGCTTAGGAATCGAGATATTCCCCTCGTTCGTATAAAATGTTATCGCCATGGAGAATCAGATTTCATTTGGAAATGAGAAGCTTCATATACATATTTTGAGTTTGGATATGTAATCAGTTAGTATGTATTCTAGTTTAAGTATTTCCGAGGACGGAAATAATTTTAAGGGGGGTAGATTGTAATATCTCAATAAGTTATTAATAAAAGTAATTATTTTAGTTCAGAGTTTGAACTATTTACTTT